TTATCGAGAAGATCGCGATATCGCTTGCTTACCCCCGTTAGCGTAGGAACAAGCTCGAGGAGAGGTTCTTGCCCTAACTGGCGCCAGGCTTTAACCTCTTTTCGTAATAGCTGATAATATTCCTCGAATGGGCGATTTGGATCGCTAAAGGGCGTCTCGCCCTTAATAAAGCTATAGTCGGCGAGTCGAGCTTCGCACTAAGCTTCTACCTCTTCTGATAGTAATATATCGATGTCGATAGATGTTAATGGGTAGAGTATTTGCTCGATAATTAGCTCGCTGGCTTCTTATAGAGGCACGCTATGGTCTGGAACGTCCCTCGAATAATATAACTCCGCTGGGATACTTGTGATAACGTGCTCTCTGTTCTTTTGATACTGGATCTTATGCCTATTCTATAGCTGGATAAAGTTAGCTAATTTATCGCGAATTATGTTACCGTAAATAGTATATAATGCGATCTGGTTATATATATAATCCTCGTCCTAGCTATATTCGTTATGTTCGGTGAACTATCTAGTTGCTGCGAGGTCGTTGAAGTAGGAGATCTAGCGTTAGAGGGTGCGTAGTCGTAGCTGTAGCTACTAACTCTTAATATGTATATTCCTCGTGCTTGGGCCGTATAAATAATAGCTTTCGAGACTACGGCCTTGCTGGAACCTCCGTGTGCTGCTATTAGAGAATTCGATATTTAATGCGTGTTAGTCGCTTGCGGCTAAAGCTATATAGGCAGTAGCCTATAAGATAGTCTCGCCGTTGTAGTTAGACCGCGTGAATAAGGGCCGAACCTTTATACTTCGGACCGTGCGGAGATATTACTTAAGGGTGCTTAAGACTATAATCGATAATTTGCTAATATAGAACTATATAATATATCGGGAGTATGTATCGATATATATGTATATCTAGAGGCCGAATCTTTTGAGCTTATAGTGGCTATTAAGAGCTTATATAAAGTTCTTCCCGGGCACGGAGAAGTTAACTCTAGTCTTATAATTGTTTTTAAGCCTCTTCTTAACCTGGTTAGGGAAGACTTCGCGATAAAAGTTATATAAGCGATTCTGCGAGATAATAACTTTGGCTCGCTAGCGGATGTGATAGTATAGTATGCCTCGTCCGTACCTAAGAATACGTAATGATCCCTCCCTGAGATCTCGCTTAATGAATACGATAGCTTGCTATAAGGTAGCTGTCCTTTTTTCTACGGATCGAAGCTTTTTCTTTATACCGTTGGCGCGCCGGACCTTAATTATAGTCTATAGAGTTATACCTGGATAACTATCCCGATCTTGGAGGTACTGTACGATGACTCTATCGCTTATCCCGTAATTAAAGAAGTAGAACTTTACTTTTTTAATTAAGTGATCGGTGATTTGAATGCCTGCCTGTGGCCGGTCTAAGCCCTAGTCGTGTAGGAGCGAGTCTAGTGTCTTTATACGGATAGGGGCTTGTCGTTGGTCTACACGCTATCTATTAGTAATAGCTAAGATCTGCTGCCTCGTAATATTATCGTTAACCGTAAGTTCTTCGATGTCTTCCTTATAAGCTAAGAAGAATTCGCTGGCCGGTGGTCCGGTTAGACCCTAATCAGATAGTCTAGCACGAAGGGTGCGAATGCTAATGGGATTACTCGACAACCCGGCAAGATGAGTATTCATAGCTTGGAGGATATATGCGTGGGTCTCTCCTTGTAATACTAATCGGGTTATTTCCTCCTCAAATGGCAGTAAATCAATAGATGAAGGCATTATGCGAAGGTAGTTGAATTTGCGGTGTCCGAGGCTTGTCGCGAAGGTGCGGGGTTTCGGTCATTTGCAGCATTTGCAACCCGCATCGATAGGTGCCACCGTAGATGACAGCGCCAGGCACCAGGGTCATCCAACCCCTCCACCACGACCCACCGAGGTACCGTGTACCTGCGTGCGCCCATTGCCCCTCACTGTCAAGACCGCTAAAAACGGCGGCCATTGCTTCCGGATTCGGCGGCTCGGACAGTGCTTTCTCGACTTAAAGTAAAATGATGTCTCAAAAGTCTGCGAACGCGAGCCCCGCCCACCCAAATTGGGTGACGCACCCTCCAACTTCTATACATAATTTCAATAGTAAATATTTACTCAAATTTGAAGGTGATTATATTATTAAAGAGGGAATTTCTTGGTGTTTAATAATGAGTGTAATATCCCTTTGCCCGGATGCATTCGCGGAGCCTACGCGACCAAGAGTCGATCAGGTCGTTAATATCGGCTTGTTCAATCGCCTCCCACGCCTCGACTATCCACTCCTTCAATAATGCGATATGAGCCTTGTTCTTCTTCAAATATCTTACTTCTGGATGCATCTTCGAGATCATCTGCTTCAAAGCCTTCTAAACGTGCTCAATTGGGTTGAGGTCCGGCGAGTGTGGAGGCCAGTCAAAGAGCTCTATCTCATTGAGCAAGAACCACTCAATCGTAGCTTGTTCCTTATGTATCGGCGCATTATCTTGTATGAACCTTTGCCAAGGTTGATAATATGGAAGAAGACCCTTCTTAAAAGCCTCACGATAGCTCTTCGTAGATTAGCCCTTACGGGGGGCGTTCTTATCGCGTTCTATAATCACAAGGTGGCTACGGCCGCCCTTCCAGATAGCCCCCCAGACCATGATTGATATCTTAGCTCGGCCATGCTCCCTAAGGTAAATAAATGGCTTTATGAACTTCTCGTGAGGCTTGCGGAAGATCCACCGGCTTGGGCAATTCGACTCGGACCTGAGGATGGTTTTATCGCTGAAGACAATGACCTAGACGCGTATAGCGCGTAAATTAGCTTTGATCGTGTCTTGAAGGGTATCTTCGCAAGCAATTATACCTAGTAATTCTTCTGCAAGAGGAAGCTAATCGCGATAATATACAAGACGATCCAAAGCAGTACCTTTATTAAGAGGAATTCTCTCGATCGCCCTCCATTTACGCGAATAATGCCTGCCAATAACGCGACGAAGAGTGCTCACGCTCACCTAGACACCTACTGTCAGGGGGGGTCGGTCGGCAGGTAGGACGGGGAACACTCGGTCAGGCTGATCTGGTCTATTGCTACGGATAGGCACTCCTCAGGTAGGGCAGGCTCTATGTACAAGACGTAGCTCGAAGAGCTACAACAGAAGACGGTCGGGATCGCGACAAAATGCAAAGGCAGGCGCGAGTTCACGTGACTGCCAGGTGCAGGGTGGGTCCCCGCTCTTGACCAGCTGTGACACCTACGTCGGTCGCCAACGCCTTCCAGGTAATATCCCGGTCTCTTTTAAGCAAAAGAATAACATACTTACGTTGAGCCTTGCTTAATTTATATAGCCTTCCTTTGCGTGGCTTGATTTGGACCGTTTGCTTATTTTTGAAGCGCTTGACGATGTTGAAGACTGTCGACTTTGTGGTGTTGAACTCGGCCGCAATAGCGCTATAAGATTTACCCATTGATTGCATCGCGACAATCGCTCCTCGAGCCGCTAAATTAAACTGGCAGTTGAAGCCCCGATTGCCGCTTATAACGGTACTAAAATTTCTTTGATTTGAAGGCATCTTCGCGTTGTGATATGGAATGAAGAAAGAAGGGTGGTTGGGGCACGCGTTCTGACGCGAAGTGGTCGGGTGGATCGTTCGCAGACTTTTGAGACCTAATAGTAATCGAGAACACGCTGTTGCCCCCTTCCGGGAATGGTGGCGCCCCAACCGGGTAAGGCGCCCTCGCCGCTGTGACCCCGCCACCCATGCTCAGCACCCGGTCGCCTCGCCGTCACAATAAATATCCGACCTCCTTCTTCCCCGTCATTTGTGTATATTCGACTTCTTTCCCCTCCCAACTCCCTTCAGAATGCTCGCCGTCCTCATCCCTTGCCTGTCCCCTGCGCTAGTCTGCAATCTCCGCCCTCTTCATGCTGCGTGGCGCGGCCTCGAGCGCCGCTCCGCCTAGCATCCTGCCACGACGGGTCCAGGACGATCTCCCTGTCCCCTTCGTACCGCAGCCATGCTAAGTTCCGCCCATTGAGGATCCCGGAAGAAGGATTCGAATCGCTTCCAGACCCAGGATATCACCAGTATGAGCGTTGTGAGCCTCTACCCTATCCCTGTGATCGGCGTCGGACGCCACGGATTCGAGGGTGCACTGATGACCCAAAACTGGGACCTGAATGTTCCACTCTCGAATCGCCGGGGACGGACCTTCTCGGGCGGTGCAATGACTGCAAGCTGTCGTTAGTCGTGTTTGCAGTGATCAAATAAGGTCAGCACATTGGGCAGAAGAACATGGCTTGATGGGCGCCATGGGAAATCCTTGGTACAAGAGAGCGCAGTATTTCGTTGCCGACGAAACAGATAAATGGTGGATCCCATGTGGCAATTATTAGTCGGTATTTCCATTTATAAGCGCCCATCACCTGTTTTCATCCGCATGGGCGGCCGACCGCTCCCGACTTCGCTTGCTTCGAAGGGTGCGTTCCCAGGACATCGCCAAACTCCTTTGCAATTATTGACAAAAGTCCCGCGGATAGTACAGCCTTGTCTGAATATTGATTATCCGCATTCTCTTCCACTGGTAGCGCCTCGTAGCGACCCAGTTGTCGATAAACATGTACATGAACATCACCAAGATGAGACCTGAGGCGATTAGAGGCCCCAGGATGGAGAAGACGGTGAAGCCGTACGAAGCCGACTGAAGGTCTCGCTCTCCTAGAGCCTCGTCGCCAGGCCGACCTACATAGCCCTCAGGACAATGGCGATGTAGACCGTTGAGCCGACAAGTCAGGCAAAGTTGTCCCCGAAGAAGGTGCCGTACTGGGTCCAACGAGACACATAGTCGCGGAGGGGGATCTTCCAGAGCAGGTATGTCTTGTTGAGCCGGCTGAGTGACTGTTGGACCAGTCACTGCCCTGATTGGTCAGGCTCCACATTCGGCCCACAGCTGCCCTCAAAAGGCAGCATCATCGCGGCATCGCGTTCTTCCTTCTTTTCATAGCATCAGCATGTTCTTCAGATAGAGAACTCATCATCTTCCTTCTCTTCTGATCTGTTGTTCATCATCATCTTCATAACGATCTCGCGGTTGAGGAGACGCTGATGGTGGAGCGGGCGCGGCGGCATGGGCCGTCCCGCGATCCACAGCCAGTGGTGGATATGGGCAAGCCGCCGCAGATCGAGCTCCGCGTCGACGCAGGCGAGTACCGAATGCGGGCCGGGATTGTCAGGTGATCCTCCGGCGTGCGGCTCGATGCAGGCAGCAGGTCGAGGGGATCGGAGGACGACGCCGCGACCGACCTCGAAGACCTGTCGTAAACCCACAGATCAACAAATTACCCACGTACCCCTGTCTGTTAGAAAGGTACGTGATATTCGCTGGGTAAAGCGTGGCGAATGGAGTAGCGTCTATTTGAGCCGCTACCTGGCTTTAGGGCAAACTTTCGTGGCACAGCAAGTATCTCAATCTTTGAGTATGCTGATTGGTCAGTCCCCTAGTCGCGCACCTAAGTGTACGCTTACGACAGTCAAGGGGATGGGCGGTTGGTGAAGGGGGCCAGCTGTTAGATGTGGATCATCAGCGGCGGCCCTCCAGACGGAGAGGAAACGGTGCTCACATGGTGCGTTGCCGACATTCTGACGGAAGGATGCGAAAGTCGCGTGCTTCAATACCAATGACCTCCGGTGAGCGCTGACTTCTGTCGCTATCAGCTACAGCGCCATCCGCAAGTAAGACGGGCTCGACCCCGCCGTCTCACCGTACCTTGACTGATTGAAATGTCTGATCGCCTCTCCGACGCGATAGGGACGTATCGTTCTCGTCATCAACGCGGCTTAAAGCTTTGCCCCACTTGCTGTTGTTTGTTCCGATAGTCGTGTCACGTTATCAAGTCCTCACGACTTGTTCCTGCGAAATTAGACACCGACGCACCATGACATTGCCAGTCATTCAACCCGCTCCAGCGTCAACCTTTGAATGCTGAGATACGGCTTGGCAGCTCTTGATCTAATATCCCACCTTAGTACGAGGGATCAGAGCGGGGTTCGGTTTCCAACGTTGTTGTTGTGCTTCCTGTTGATGCTCCTCCCTTTACGGACTGCATAAGGCTGCTTTGGCTGCGTCGTCCGCGCCCGACTCGGAAAATTGCTGGCGACAGATATCACTGACCATGGCTATCTAAGCACTGCCAGCGCCTCGCAAGTTTAGTAAAGCCCCGGAATATCGAGCCATCCCGTCCTGCACCTGCAGCAGGCTGCCAGCACATCCAGCACCAGCCGCACCGCCTGATTGCCAAAGTGGACAATGCAGGTGTCAATTCGCTCATTATCCCTTTTTCCTTTCTGCGGGACAGATGGCTTGGTGACCCCTAAGATCAGCTTCATATAATTCTGAACCAAAACAGAAATCCGGGATTTAACTTAAATGCGACTTATCTTCCTGTGGTGGGGCGACTTTGGTCGGCATCCTCCTGGTCGGAGCAGAACACCATGAACAGGAAGCTCAAGCACTATTGTGCTCTTCTAACGTGACTGTCGAAGTGAACGCGTCGCTTTTCATCGCGAGACGCGCATGCTGTTTGCTTAGCAGGAGATAAAGCAACCTAGAGCAACGGCGAGCGCTGTAATGTAGAAGCGGCTGGGTGGTGTCGTAAAGTTATTGTGGTGAGATGTACACGCAAACACCCTCAACGGGCAAAACTGAGATAGGAAAATGAATGGGTAATGCTGGCCATCTCAACCCGGCCCCAGCGACCTCTCGAACAAGTTGGCGACTTAGAGGAACCGCAGGGCTTCGCGGTGCTAATCGGAAACTACACAAAAGCTCTCTTCCTTACCAACTTATGCCTAGGGAGCAGGCATCCAAGCAATGCGAGACACCACGTTGAGATCCATCTACATATCTCGCGTACTAGTCTTCATTGCCGACGGGGACCTGCCCGTCCATAATCGGCCTCCCTCGGAACCCAAATCATATTGTTGCCACCAAACCGGTGTGGACTCCTTGGCTGGACTTCCCTAGCAAGACGGGCCATGAAGTCCGCAGATACTTATGGCTGTCCCTTCGCCTTCCGGATTCCCTCTTGTACCTCGGCACTTCTACGACACTGATCCCCCGACCTAAAGGCCAGGTCAAAATCAAGCATACAACATTCATACTCAATCTCAGAGAAGCTCGTGGAACACGACATATGACACCTGCAGAGGTACTTTATCACTCATCAATCCAACTACGAAAACCGAGGTGTTTTTTACAGCGACTTTCTAAGGACACGGAGGTGGAATTTATATGCAACTGATTTCCTATCATTGTATTATGCGTGCTTTGCTGAAAATGCTTATAGAGCCATGTCTAGGGAAGCTCGCGCGACCCCAAGTACAACCTCGTCAAGATTGTCTACCAATCGGTGAATAGGAAAAAGCCTATTGTCGCTTTGTCTATCAACTACCGTCTGTCTCTCTGGGGCACTGCGCACGCGAAGGCGCGTATTAACACTACCGACAGTTCCACCTCCTGGCTCGCAAGCCAAGATCGCAACGACGCTCAGATCACCACTATTTCAATTCTGTACCTTGACGCCCCTGCCGTTCGTATCCCTGCATTCTACAAAGGTCGCGCTTCTGTCTCATTTGGTTGCCAGTTCAAGAGGGTCACTGCCTTGGCCGGAGACTACCAGCAACAGCCGGTAGAAGAGCCCTTGCCAACACATACGCTGCTGCCGGCATGCCAGTCTACACCGAACTGTGGAGCGTCATCTTCAACGGCCTGCCCAACTTTGTCTATGGAGCCACTTACTTCCAAGAGGCAGCGTTCGTGTTCAATAACGTCGCTAGCCGTGGCTACTCATCAAGTCCCTTCGAGAGCATGCCTCGGAGCTATGTAGAGCTGGCAGATCTGATCCCTAATCGCCTAGAAATTAGTACAAAATTTAGTTAATGACTATAGCGAAGCTATGCGATCGATAGAGGGACGGGTAATTCTAGTTATATTGTAGTAACCAGCACTCAAATAGTAGTTCCGACAATAAAAGACATCCTCGCCCGCCTGTTTCAATTCGCGCACCTTAGCTCAGCTATAGGAAAAGGACTTCTGATACTCTTCCGTATTTTCCCGACTCGAGCTTCAGAGCTTAGAGGCCAGGAAGTCGGCAGCCTCGGGCGCATCGGACCCGTAGCCAAGATGAGGAGCCAAAACGGCTCCAGCCAAGTTACCATCGCAAACAGAGTCACGGACCAGGCCGCCGCAGAAGACCTTGTACCTGTCGCGAGGAAAGTTGGGGATCTGACCATCATCCCTGCGGAATTGGGTGTCACCAAAGCAAACGGCGCCCTTGATCTTGTCCTTGATTTCCTCTTCGATATCCTCAACGCCGCGGTGAACAACGGCTGCTCCTTGGCTAGTAAGGCGGGGACATTAGCGGATGGTCATCTCATTGAGAGGGAGTAGGCGGGCGAAATTACCTGTAGCCCGACACAACAATATCCGCGTCGGGGCACTTAGTGTGGGCCAAACGAAGCATCGACTTCATTTCTTCCTCAGACTCACGGTCAGTCCCGCCAGGAAGGTAGTTGGGAGCCAAAGCAGCATCGTAGTTGACACCCTGGACGGTCAAGTCGCGGCCATCCAGACGGTCCTCAAGCTCGCGGACCAGGTCAGGGCCGATGATAGTGCCCATATTCCCGACCTCTGTGGAGCCACGAGCGAAGATAAGCACAACATCTCCGCAGCTCGACCGCCGGCGCGTAAGTCCGTTCTCGGTTGTAGGGAGAATCTGGCGAGCGACGAACTCCGGGTTCGCCGTGACGTCCTTTTCAATGACGATGGGTGCCGGTGCGGCGACACCGGCTGGAGCAGCGATGGCAGCAGACGCCAAGGCAAGGATGGACAGGAGTTGCATGATGACTTTGGAATTGGGCGAGAGAAACGAAGTTGAGGACGAAGACCCGAGGGCTGATAGTGAAGAAAATGGGAAGAGTTGCGAAGGCTGGCTGTTGCTGCTGAGCTTCTCATCTCGGCGGGAGGTGTTCGCGCCTTTATACTTTTCTTCTTGCATCCCCTTCTTAATGTCTACTGCTTTAAGAATCTTTCTTCCCGACTGTTGATACTGATTGATTTTGTGTACTATGCCTAGTTTGGGTTATGAAAGCGAAAGCCCACCGACTCCCATAGTAAACGTACCTGGCTGGAGGCCAAGTCCCTGCACGCGACTCACTACTCACAACGCGCCAGTACGAAAATAGATCGAGTCGCGAAGTTAATCGTGGGGAAAGTTCCAAAAGAATAAAGCCAAGACCAGAAGCCGAGGCAAGAAAGCCGTTGCCGAGCTAGAACGCGACTCGAAACGCGACTCGAAACACTCAATATCATGCAGAGAATCCCATCTTAACCCCCGGCTCAACGCTTGATGCGGGGTCGCTCAGACGGAGGACTAGGTAATCCAATCACCCACTAATTCTAGACTTCTTAAAGAGATGCGTTTGTCCGAAAAGGGGTTTGAGTTGCGAATAGCTTCGGGGGACTATCATCCGAGTGTGGAGTGGAAACGCGGGGAAATCGTGGGTGGGGGAGGCTAGCCTCAGTCTTACACGCATTGGGAGCTCCACCAGGAAGTGCCGGCAGGACATGTGCCTAAGAGAAAAACAGGATGGTCCTTGTAGATTAGATTCATGATTACGAATCATTCCCGAATTAGGCCAGGAACGGGCTCATTAGCGGCCGCCATGCCATGTGCTTCCCAAGGCTCCAGAAAACCAGATACACCCGGGTGGGCTGATCGCGACAGCTGGCTTAGTTATCCAATGCAGTGATTGAAGAAAAATTAAATATTCAACTACCTAAGACTAACATGAGATATGGTGACCTAAACGGGGCCAGTGTTAGGGAGGCTTAGATATCGTTAAATGTGCAACGTACAGCATGCGTACCAAGTACGGTATCCTAATAGATTAACCAATAAAGTAGAATACTATTATCGAGTAAGATTACACCGGTTTATAACTAGAGTATTATTACTATGTTTCCACCGAAGGCCACGATAGTCGTATAGAGACGGGTGATATACTAATACTAACTAGTAATATTCTCTCTCAAACTCCCGATAGTAAGACCGGGAACTATGATACCTTTCACTCTATTGAACATGGGCAACGACTACGCGGGCGTCTATAAAGAATATAGAATCTCTATAGACTAGTTAATACTATAGTCGGAGAGGACTGCTCCGGTTTCTGGGCCTAATATTACTACTGCGTATTCGTGGAGGGTCACGACATGCTAACTATCACCAAAGGCCCAGAACCAATGGAAACAGACAACTTCCCGTCCACAACCCGCGATAGTACAGCCGAGGATTGTGCCAAGTTCCACTATGTCGAAAAGGGCGATGACTATCAGAATCTCTGCTAGGAGCATGGCATCACCATAGACTACCTAATAGAGTAGAAAACCGTAGTTAAGGCAGACTACTTCGGCCTTTGGGCTTAATACTTCTACTGCGTGTCCATCGAGGGCCACGACTCGGACAGTAACGACGACTAAACCGGTAACCGACCCCGGCCCTACCGCTCCAGCAGACACGCAGTCGGGGATCGCCGAGGACTGCGAGACGTGGTACGTGGCTAAAAGGGCGACACATGTGATGCCATTGTCGCAGCGTATGACAACCTCGTCCTGGGCGTCTTTTACCAATGGTACAGGTCGTAGGTCAGAACTGCGACGGCATCTAGGCTTAGTATGCCTACTACTGCGTTGGTACGTACTTGACCTCGTTTTCTACGTAATGCTCACGAAATGCATTTCGAAACGGCAGTTTCTCCACCTGTCTGCATAGACATCGCACCTTGACCTGCTGGCATTATAACATAGTCCAAAACGCCCTTATGCATTAGTCATAGTCTCTGGAGGGGTTGCTAGCGTCCGAAGGCATGGACGTCATCTACATGACATTCGGCCTGCTCGCTAGTGCGGGGCCGGCGGACGGCACTGTCTATAGGGTGTTGTCCTGATATGACTTCGAGGCCGCATGCCATAAGTCATGCCTTGCTTCTCGTCGTCCATTAGCGCGTCTTTCAGCAGTACGTGCCGTAGTCTCGGTACTTGGAGTAGGTCATGCACTCATGGCGCTCTGCGACTCTGTGTCCTCCTCAGCTGACTGTAAACGGCTCGCTCCAAGTTCCCGAGAAATCATCGTTGCGGTATAGGATGCGGCAATGGGTGCACCTATACAAACACTCAGGGTCCATGGCGATGTTATTTCCTTAGTAGCCTTCTCAGTGGACTGCGAACGACTTTTGTCGGCGTCGTTAGATAAGACGAACAAGGTACGGGATGAGGAAACGGGCGAGTGCTTGCAGACACTCAAGGGCCATGGCTATGCAGTCTACTCGGTGGCTTCCTCGGCAGATGGCCAACGTCTCCCATCAGAATCCAACGACTACACCGTCAAAGTATGGGATCTCACGACAGGCGTATGCGTGCTGACCCTTAAGGTCGGCACGCTGGTATCTCGTCTTTCTTTCGACTTGAAAACTAACACGCTTCTCTCTACTGACATCGGCGTTCTGGTCTTATATCCCTATGCTAGGGATGCAATACCACTGGAGTCCTCTACAGAAATGCCTCGGGCGTTTTTATTCCTTGCTTTCAGCAGGCCGTGTTCCGGGATTTGACGATTCTGTAGATGTTCGCTTCACTTGTAGGGTATGCAAAACTCCAGCTCCTAGTTATAACTAGATTTGGTCTCGTTCGGGGATGAATTGAGTCTTCTAGACTGAAAGACTGTTGTGGAAAAGGCCGCTGTGCTGGCTGAAGAGGTCATGGACGGTTTTGCCATATTTTCCGAGTTTGCTCGAGGGAAGTTCACACCCAATGTGTCTGTCTTAACGCCCTCCAGAGGCAACGTCCCTTCGTGTAACGAGCCGGTCCGTTGGGGTTCTGTGTTTTGACTTGTCGCGTCTGCGTCTGTGGTGCCAGCAGATGGAGTGTGTCGCCTTGAATGCCGGTCGACTGGACATTGGCATTGACCAATCCCCATATTGCCTTTGTTTACTGTCCGACACGTGCTCATCGGTGTAGTTGGGTGGAGGCCGGGCAAACGTCTGCCAGCCAAAATAGCTTGGGTAAAGGGTGATATGTATCTCGAAGCAGTTTGTAGAGGAATAGTGCCCCGTAACAAATGACAGGACGATGAGAGACGGATTAAGATGTTAGTGTGTACTACTCAAGGCGAGAGAAAATTGTTCCAGGAGAGATAGCAGTATGGGGGGAAATCGATGAAGGGAGGGCAGGAAAGGGGCCAAGACAGATCCATTCAGCCATACTATACAGTAGACAAAAGCGAAATCGGCCGCCACGCCTTCGCAATAGCTTAGTACGCTTCCCCTGGCTTCTTAAGGGGAATGATCTTGGCGTGTCGCCATTGGTCTGGGCCGTCTGGCAGTTTTCTTTCCTCAAGTGAAAGCTGGAAAATCGATAAGACCCAGTGCTTAACTATTGGCCACACTTGCTTCCAGACCATCGCCGGCAGTTCATCTTCACCCGCGCTTTCCAGGGCTTCGCCTTGAAGAGATGTCGTTCGATTTCCTCCAGGGTGATATCTGTCATCGGCAGGGCTGCGGGCGAATCAGTCCATCTTCTACGTTCGCAATCAACAGTCAAAAAATCAGGGATTTTAAGGACTTCAATCAATCAGTCTGTCGGCTGCCGCCCGTTTGACTGTTTGATCAACCCAATCAAACGGCCGTGAGGATGCATCGCCGTACTTTAAAAAACTCTGCACCAATCAGAACGCTAGAATTCACCCCCGCGCCGAACACCCACCACCTCTTCCAACGTAACCCGACCTCGCAGACGGCTGCTAATAATAAACCTCACCTCGCTGCAAGCTTCATGAGCAAACACACCACCTCTTTCAATAGCACAGAGCTATTCCGGAACAGCCTCAAATATAATTATTTCTACGCCATTCAAAAGCTCTTCTATTTCTCTTCATCTTCGCACTATTCATTATGGCCGCCGCCACTGCTTTCGGCGCCGCATCGCCCGCTGCAATCAAGCAGCTGTTCGAGCAAGCTCACTCACTAACTGACCCTAACTACCCCCAGAACGAGATCATCATCATCAAGTATGCTACCTCCGACGACCAAAGCAACAGCCCAAGGTCCTGGGACCGCGAAGAGGACCTTTATTCCAGCACAAGATAAGCCAGAGACCGCACCAGCTGGATCAGCGCCCATGGCGGCTACCTGACCGAGCTTGTCGTCCTAACCACCTCCATCACTGCACTGAAGAGCTTCTGGTACTGTTATAAGTATGAAAGCCGGGGTATCTTCAATGTCTTCTCGGTTCAGAGCACTAGTGGCCCTGAGAGCCACCTGACAACCACCCACCGCACTATCAACCCCCGATTTCCTGGCGTTGACCCTGAACCTTCCCCTTCCTCCAATTCCGATGACGATGATGAAGGTTAACAGCCTCTAGTCAAGCGACCACGCCTAGGCTTCGTCACGAGCACCTAGACGAGGCTGTCACACGAGCTTGCATTAGCCTTCGTGATCAGCAGCGACAGCCCGTTCGACGTCTTCTAGAACTTATATCTTAAAATCGTGATCCGCAAGGCTAATCCTGATTTATATGAGAAGTGATCCTGGAGCCGGTGGGCTATCCGTTAGGGACTCTCTTCGGCCTATTCCACAAAGACAGCCCTTGTCAAAGACCTGCAAGCTAAGGCTATGACGAAAGTGTATCTAACCTTTAATTTTTGGACATCCCCAACCCGTCACGCTATTCCTGGGGTTATAGCCCCCTTTATAGATGCTGCTAGCACCCGACGGGAGCTTCTGATCTCTATGAAGTTTCAGAAAGGCCATTATGACGGTCCTAGTCTTGCCTACACCTTATTCTAGGTTATCGATGAATATGGCGTTAAAGACCGGCTCGGTTACCTTGTCAGCGACAATGCCTCTAACAACGATACGTGTTTCGACGAGCTATATGGTCTAGTTGATCCCTTTATGATAGATTGAGAGATATCCGCGAGACACTTGCGCTGCTACGGTCACGTTATTAACATCGTTGGACGGGCTTTTCTGTACGGCAACGATCACGATATATTCTCTGGAGAGTCGGGTTACATAGCCGGTTGTTGCCCTTTTTCCCCCATTTACCCCCAATGACACCGATGACATCGATGATAACGACGCCTTACATGAGGTCTTGGAGATAAGAGGGCCCTATTTGCCGGCTATATAACTTCGTTAATTGGGTTAGGGATTCCCCCTCGAGGACCAAACTGTTTAATAAAGTTGTTTATGAAGCTATGGAAAAAGGGGAAGGCTTCCTCCTTGGCCACGCATCCGCCCTTGAGCTACAGCTCGTCTTGAGTAACGATACGAGGTGGAATTCAACGTATCTGATGATCGACCGGGCCCTCGCTAAGCACCAAGAAATACGTATTTTTCTGGGCAAGAATATTACCGAGTCTGACCCCTCAAGGAAGTTGCCGGACAACGCGGTCCTTGTAGCCGAAGACTGGCGCCTCCTCATGGAATTACGAGATGTTCTTAAGCCTCAGTAAAAGCAGACAATGTGCATATAAGGCCGTCCTTTCGAGGGTGCCTTTAGCTGCTTATGGGAGGTTGTCCATAGTCTTGAATATCTTCGTGAATAGATGCGCAGATGTAAGAGGTTATTCGAGGAAGCCCCTGACGAGGAAGCGTGTTCAACGAAGACAGCGGTCAATGGCCGGAAGGGAAGGGAGAATTGGATTAACGGCAGTCGGGCTAGTTTTGATATCAGCCATAACGACGAACTTGATGACTATTTAAGGCTTGATCCGGCCCGCCTTTTCTCTTTAACAGACCCTCTTGAGTGGTGGCTACACCAGAAGAAGACCTTTACTCACCTTCAGAAGGTGGCTCTGGATATTTTCGCCATCCCTTCTATGGCCTCGGACTTCTAGAGTGCGTTTTGGTGGCTAAATTGACTCTGAGGTCTCAGCGGCTGGCAATAGTGTCTTCGACCCTGCAAGAACTTCAATGCCTCCGTAACTGGCTTATTAGGGGTGTGATAGATATAGGAGGGTGTGTCGAGCCAATCAATGGTGTTACTACCGGGTCTTTTAGGTCACAGACATTGTGATCAAATCCATACATATGTAGCGTATTCACTAGTCCAGTCTTTACCCCTTTCCCTGCTATTTATATAGGTAACTCAGTCAAATGTGATTCACATTCATTAGTATCAGATCAAACAGTCAGATCTCGTGCAAAACTCGTGTTAAACGATCAAATAGATCCCCCGCATCTGGCCTAATTAATTAGCCCGCAGCCCTGGAGAGAAGAAATCATACCGTGGGGTAAAGCATGTAACTTAAGAGGAAAGTACAAGGAATATTAAGGAGGTAGCAGCAGCCACGTCCGATACCAGTCGTCAGAGGCCTGAGACGGATAACTGATATCTCTCCCATAATAACCCAGGCGGCAGGGCGGGTCCGAGGGTGAAGAGGGCAGAGACGATAAGACCGAGGGAGGCCTGCGCTAAAGACGCCGAGGTCGATACACCACAGGAGGCTGCGGTTCCCCAGGGCGACAAGCAAGACGGTGGTAATACCGGAGCCGCAAACGTAGATAGTGGGTCGGCTGAGGCAGGTAGTAAGGATCCATGACAGCATCACGAAGATAGCCTATAGACCGGAGGTGATAAGACCGAGGGCAAAGGCGGTACTAACACTCATACCGGCCTCTATAATCACTTTCAGCTCTACTTAAGTACAAGAATCCTAGGATAGCATAGATGAATAGAAGAACTCACGTTGAAAGAAATGGACGGCCTGGTTAGCAATCAGGCTGCCCGCTAGGTTCTAGGCAGCGTACACACCGCAGACGATAAAGATACGGTAGATACCGGTGTTGCGGAGAAGCTCCAGGTAGTTATTCTCCTTCTCGGTCTTCTCGAGATCAATAGTACGACGCACCATGGTAACGGACGCGTCAATGTTCTGCACCACGGACTTGCGTCACAGACACAGGACAGCGCGCTTGGCGTTCTCAAGGCGGTCCTTTCGGACGAGCCACCAGGGAGACTCGGGGGCCAGGAAGAGGAGAATGGCGAGGGGCGTGAGGAACATCCACTGGAGGGCGATGGGGATCCTGTAGGCAGCGTCGTCCAGTCGGGTGATATCGTGGGAGGTGACGGCGTTGACGATGATGATGCCAATGGCCCAGAATATATGTAGCATCAGACTCCGGAAATGAAGGACAGAGCTCGGGGTCTTGTTGAGAGCTTCTTGGATTACGATGGGTGCGCTTAGCTCTGGGTCCGGCCGGGGGATGCTTGGTTAGAGTTCTACAACAGCGCGGAGTATGCCGCCGCCCCCAGCGATGACTGTCACCGTTTCATGGCTCTTCCCATGACTTAGATGGTCGGGTATGGAAATATCGTCGTGGGTGACGCGGGCAGATAAAGGGTGCGAGTGATGGTCCAGACATAGAGAAGTTAAAGTAGCCTGTGCGGTGCGGCTGGTTCTAGAACCATGGAAGTTTCGATTAAATAAGTGCATCAGGCCTCTTGACCCAGTGAAACAATTTGACGGATGTCAGTAGCGAATATTGAGCAGCGAGCCTCCATATTTACGATACAGGATCTAGCAATATTACTAGTTTGCCACGACCGGCGATACTCGTGCCGCGCCCCACCTTCACCTAAGAGGTGGGGCGCGGCACGAGTATCATGTTCGCTATCATCTCCAAATGTAGACGAGAGAGTCAATATCCTGCACGCTCATTTCTTGGCGTTTCATGTAAAGAGTTCAATATCGTCCACCATGCCTATTGCGGCAGGGAATTGAAGTGGCCTCGGAAGGGTTCGGCAGCCGCAAACCCCAGGCCGAGGCATCTCACACCCAGGGCAGTTTGCTCAAGGGACCTTTCGGCATCGCACTATATAGAAATTCCTAATATAAGAAACGATGATCATTTCCAATCAATTCCGATCATTTTTTTGCTGTGCGTTATTAACGGAAATTTGCGATACTGAAACCACTAAGACCACACAGACAGGCGTACATTGACTATTCACTCAAAATGGACCCTTCAATCCCATACCACGAAGCCGCTATATCAAAGGTTCGTCTCATATATCTAAACGTATTTGGTATAGCCTATGCTAACCTATGGCTGAATCTTATAGTTGCAAAACGGCAGTCTGTTCATCCAGGATGCCTTCATTGACGGGAAGTGGGTAGCAAAGGAAAAGAAGTTTGACGTCTACGGTATGCTTAAACTGATTGGAAGGCGCCCTGTAAACGATGACATCTAATTCTGAAAATGACTAGAGCCTTCTACCGGTACAGTCATGGGTCAGGTGGCCAACTGCGACAGACTAGACTTCCAGACAGCGATCCAAAGCGCATCCACCGCTCAGACACGCTTCTGGGAGAGCTCAACGGGCGCGAGTCGTGGTGCCATTCTCAGGAGGTGGTACGAATTGATCTTGAGCAACTCCGATGACAGTATGGGTCATTTACTTGCTGGAGAACGCCGTTGACATTTTCCCAGTTGCCACCATCTTGTGCCTGGAGAACGGAAAGACATTCGCCGAGGCAAAAGGAGAGGTTACATACGCGGCGAGCTTCATCTCCTGGTTTGCTGAGGAAGCCGCCCGCTCTTACGGTGTAACCATCCCTTCGTCCTCACTACACACTACGCTGTGGACTGTTCGTGAACCAGCTGGGGTCTGCGGCATCATTACGCCTTGGAACTTCCCAGCTGCTATGATAACAAGGAAGATAGCTCCGGCCCTGGCCGCCGGATGCTCTGTGGTGATCAAGCCACCTAGCGAGACCCCTTATACCTGCTTCGCCCTCACCAAGCTGGCGGTCGAAGCGGGCCTCCCATCAGGTCTCATTCAAGTGTGCCCGACCAAAGATCGCGAAGCCTCAACGGAGCTGGCGACGAACCCTACAGTGAAGAAGATCTCTTTTACCGGCTCTACTGGCGTGGGGAAGATGCTGGCGAAGCTGGCGAGTAGTACCCTGAAGAAAGTTAGCTTGGAGCTTGGTGGCAACGCGCCATTCATCGTCTTTGATGACGCGGATCTGGATCTCGCAGTGGAGGGGGCTATGTTCTGCAAATTCCGCTGCTCCGGCCAAACCTGCGTATGGTAAGAAAGCATGGATGCAATGATTCTGAGATATGATGCCAATTAACGATTCTAGTGCGAACCGATTCTATGTCCAAAAGGGTGTGGCCAAGGAGTTTACTAGGAAGCTGGTCGAGAAGGTCTCGGCCTTGAAGCTGGGACCTGGCCTAGAAGTATCCACTACTCAAGGGCCTTTGGTGAATAAGTCAGCCGTTGACAAGGTCCAAGAGCACGTGTCAGATGCGGTCCAGAAGGGCGCCAAGGTCGAGATTGGAGGCTCGGCTCCTGGATTGTCAGGCTTCTTCTACGAGCCTACCGTCCTGTCTGGTGTGCCCAGAGAGGCAGCTGTGAGCAAAGACGAGACATTTGGCCCGCTCGCTCCTATATTTGAGTTCTCCACGGAAGACGAGGCGGTTGAGCTGGCGAATAACACCGAGTTCGGGCTCGCCGGGTACTTTTTCTCCAAGGATGTCGGCCAGGTGATGCGCATGGCTCAGAGACTACAGGTTGGTATGCTCGGCATCAACACGGGCAAGATTAGCGCTGCAGAAGCTCCGTTTGGCGGGATCAAGGAGAGTGGTTATGGAAAGGAGGGGAGCCTGTTCGGGCTGGCAGAGTACCAGAATATCAAGGCTGTCACGTTGGGCAACACTCAATTGGGCGCTTGATGCTGCTTGCATATTAAAAAAACGAACTTTTACCCGCTGCCAGCCTTTTAGTTCCGTGACGTTTCAAATTAACGAGTTCCCTAGCTATGTCGCCCGTGATCAATCTAGTTTCGTTGCTTCCTTCTTTTCATAGCATCAGCATGTTCTTCAGATCTTACTTCTCTTCTGATCTCTTGTTCATCATAATCTTCATAATTTTTCACTATTTTAGTGGATACCTGTTGGAGCCTATCTTCAGCTGCGTTAATGAAGTCGACGAGGCTATTGGTGCTTTGCGAGTCCACACTTCGTTGGCTACTGCCTAGGGCACGTTAGGTGGTTCTTCTTAGGAATAGGCTCCTCACCAGATAGGCAGTGCCTTCGGCGTCGCTGCCGGCCCATTCACCGGTGGAATTCATCTCACGTCGTGTCTTACCATACCTTGGAAAGTGTTAATCTTTGCTGGGGCGACGTGTTTAAATGATAATATACAGCCTGTCCTAATTTTGCACGTCGGTGGTGGAAAGCGGCCCGTACCGATCTACGTGTGCCCTCGGGAGAGAAAAGCCTATTGTGGTTATGGTTAGCCAGGCTTATGGGTACGGCTATAGTCCCTCTACGGGAGGATCTAACGCTTACTCATCTCTGGAACAGCCTGTGTCTTCCCATGCACCATACTGTCTAGGCGACGTGCTTATCTAGTAGCAGGGTTCATAAGGAGGTTGCCGAAATTCTGCAAGAAGAAATCTCAGGTGATACACTATCGGATGGCGAATTTTCACTTGCAAGCGAAAGCAGGACGCCAGATTGGGACGGAAAGTTGTATTAGCTACAACTTATGGGGGTGCGCAGACGTCAAATTCGTAATCATGGCTGACTGGGGTCATTCTGCATGGAATTGCATGCCGGTACACGTCTCACCGGCGACCGCTGATCGATACTCCCGTGTTCCTCTATCGCGGTGTGTCTGGTCGTACCGCTTCATCTACGCCTTCGCGTTGCATCGATTCTCAACTGCTGCACTGCTTTCTCCAACTCAGATATAATCTTCAAATCGTTGGATGGTAGCGTGAATATTGTGCAGATCGGGGACCAGAGCGTTGTCGAAACATTACTCGGGGCTAATAAAACCTAGATCGACGGATGGGAGCATTATTCTCTGGTTTGTCAACTCACGGCCTGCCTTCAGCACAGCCGTAGGATCGCCAGCGTTAACCTGCTTGATTGTATGGAACCTCCCGTCCGAGTACGCACGGAACAGAACACGGATAGGCTCCGGTGACAGGCTTGCCTAGGCACAGCCAGGCGCGATACTTTGCCTAAAAAAGGCGACGCTACTAGACTCGGTGATGGGCGAAAGCCCCGCTCGTACGGACTCTACACTTTATTTCCTGAAGTTTTGAATGCTTTGCTCGAGTGTCAAGCGCTCTACAAGCGGAGAGCACGTTCTTGTCGGCTCTGATAGAAGCTCTTCGGCCGTATTAGGGAGAGGACTCCATTACCTCGACGCTTTATGCTCTGAGCCGAAGAAGGCACTACAATAGCACCGTAGCACGAAGAAAAATATGAGCTCAGGCCCATGCACGTCGAGCGATGCCAGGTCAGCCTGCAGGTTGCCGCGAGTGAGCAGCCCTCGGTCAAGCTAGTAGCCGTCCTTCTTCGGACGGCCGCACCTTCTGCACAGACGCTCTACGGTATGGTTTACCACGAGGCTGGCCAGGGCGTCCTTATGCAGGGCCGGCACCGTGTCTAATCCATGACAGCGCTTCAGATCGGCAATGTCGCCGGACCCTCTCTCCGTCGTATACACAAGTCTCTGTATCTCCGTGGACCAAAAACCTAGCTGCTGCGCATACTCCGCCGCCTGTAGAATATTGTGCTAAGCTTCGGTGATAGGTCCTGCGAGTCTCTCGTTCGATGCCGATGTAGGGTTCGCAATGCCCTGGAGGTTGCCGAGCATAAACACCCATAGTTCCTGGATAGCAATGCCAGCTGCGGAGGCCGTGTCATTGCTCTCTTATGCGCGTTCTACTGGCCTGGAACGGCCCAGCAACGCCTGACGAATCGTCTCGCCTCGCGGCGTCACGATATGGCGTATGCTGGTGGTGTAGGCTTGGAGGACGTGGATGTCCTAGGAGAAGGTGTGTAGTGATGTTATGATCGTCTCGATGCTGAGAATCGCCGCGAGTATGGCGTTCTTCTGCTCGTCTGGAGTAAAGGTACGATAGATGGCGCCCTGCTCCATCTGTTTGGTGATTAAGGCCGTATCGCCTGTGCAGAACCGCGGACAGCGCAAGTGCAGAGCCTGCACGTCGTCGGCCTCGAGTTTGGCTGTGGCCCCCTGCGTATAGCTTAGTCAGGACGGACGCCACTCAAAAGCGCGGGCAAGGTACCTCATCAGCCTTGGCTGTCAAAAGCTTATGTATGGTACTGATGAGTAGCCCGGACCGTATACCGGGCATATCGAGGAGAGGGTCGAGAGCCTCTTTTAAAAGGGTATTCTTCAGCAGACCGCGGACATAGCGCCGTGCGTGGTCGGATGACAGACTGTTTTTCTGGTTCTGCAATGCCGCACACACGCATGCGGCTGACAGCTTGAGCCACCCCAGACATCGAGACGTTGGGCAGCATTGGCTGTACCAGAGGCTGGAGCAAATCGGGGAATTATAAGTACCTCAGACTAATGACGAATAATCTTGGACTGTCGATTTTGTTTTCGTACAACGACTTCCCCAGCGCTGGACAATCGGATCCTCTACTTCCTGATACCAGCATATGTGAGTCCATAGTTCTCAATTATGACCACTACTCCTGATTTTGGGAAGCCGAATGACGAGCAGATCCTGGTTGGCATTACGGAATCTCTCAGTAAGATTAAGATCAACACCAGCTCGTCCTATAATTTTGTGGATACGCCAACCGCAATAACAAACATGCTCGACGATTTGGAAGACCTACCAACGCAACCTCCATCAATTTATGTCGACATTGAAGGGGAGCGCCTGTCTCGTAATGGGACTGTCTCAATACTTCAGATATTTGTCTCCCCAATCAAGCGCACATACCTGGTGGACGTTTTTACCCTGTCCAATAAGAGTTTCACGACTTCTGGCAAGAACGGTCGCACACTTCAGGCAATTTTCGAGGATCCTCGAATTACCAAGGTTTTCTTTAACGTACGCAACGACTCAGATGCGCTATTTGCCCACTACCAGATTCAACTCAAAGGCATACAAGACCTTCAGCTCATGGAACTAGCAACGAGAAGTTTCACGAGGCGACATGTGAACGGTCTCAGTAAGTGCATTGTGAGGGATGGGTGTTTGACATCCGCCGAGATGCACCAATGGATTCGATGCAAAGAAAAGGGGAGACGTTTATTTGCCCCTGAGTGTGGAGGAAGATACAGCGTTTTCAATGATCGTCCTCTGTCTGATGAAATCAAAAGCTATTGTGTGCAAGATGTACACTTTTTGCAGCGCTTGTGGCATCACTACAATGGCAAGCTTACTTCAACGTGGAGGCACAGAGTTGCAAAAGCTTCGGAAGATCGGATCGCCGAGTCACAATCTAAGCACTACCAACCACATGGGCAACACAAAGCCCTAGCTCCATTAAGCTGGGAGAAGATACGTTATTAACGGCAAATGATAAATGGTTGGATTTGTTTGCATTCTCTAGTCACAGCACAAAGTGCTCGTGCGGTCCTCGTGCGGTCCTCGTCAGTACATAACATGCTGCTAGGTTATACGTCTGCCTTGATCACGGCTCGCGAATACTGAAAAGTGAAGATATCCTTGGGATGACTGCCTAGGAGACGACGTAGTCAACCGTTTCCAATGACCTGATTCGGAGTCCCCAATTTCACTGTTTTATGGTGATCAATCTTCTCATACCATCAGCCTCACAGGCACGAACCTCATCTTAATGCTAGGCAGTGACAACTTGCCCATCCTGCAAGAAATGCCGAATTGGCAGAACCTGAACATATCTCAGGTCAGCTACAATAACAAGTCACGACTCTTGAATACTTACAGCAGTGAGGCAGGTTGCCAAATCACTGGACAAGCAGTTGCTGCAGGCATGATCTAACTCCCGAGTGCTTCAGCACACGCCAACGCGAGGCAGAGTTGGCCGATGAACGCGAAACCTCGGCCCGCGGGGCAATGTCACGCCTAGTCATGGAGCTAGTGATCGATAAGATGCTACTCGTGCCACGCCCCACCTCCAATAAGGTGGTGCTCATCACCACACCGGCCACTTTGAGGAAGAAATCACTCAATTACTGCTTTTCTGGCTAAACGAGGCTATACACAACCTTCGAATTTATCTTAGGAAGAATATCATCCTTCCTCCAGCTACGCGCCTTTTTCGCAGCTTCATTAGCAGCCTTTTTACGCACTCTGTGCTCCGTAGCGCGCGCAGCCTTGAGCACCCTCTCTGCCTTTGCAACAGCATTGTCTTCACGCTGTGAGACCATCGAGCGAGCTTCTTCTACTGTGAGGGTGCCACCTGATTGTAGAGGTCTGTTTTTCTGTGCACGGCGTTGTTGATAGATCATTTCTGCCTTCTTCGTGCGGCTAAGGTCTCTCTTGGTCTGGATAAGCTCGGAAGCCGTAATTAGAGAGCCCTTGACAAAGCGGCCAATTTCCCACGTAAGATCCTCATCTAGCTCTTTAACACCCTCTAAAGCATCGTGAATACGATCCGTAACCTTATTGATCTGCCTTAGCGTAACAGGGGTCTCGAAGTCGGAAGAATCGTGGCGTGCTAGTTGCGGTGAGGGCGTTCGAATAGCTGCTCTCTCTCTCATCGCTGTAATCACAAGATCTAGGTGCCACGGGTGGATGCCCGTTTTCTTAAAGGCTGTGAGGATCGTAGACCTCTTAAAGGCTTGTTGCCGTACACTCTCGATCATACCCAGGAACTCCAGCTTCGTGATATTCACTACCCCGTCTCGCACGAGGATATCAAGGGCTTTAGCGTGGTAGTACTTCAAGGGCTGGAAGACCATAATATCC